TCTTGCTAAAGAACATTACTGTATTTTTTATGAAGTTCCACTTTAAGTGCCCGGTCACACAGGTTCCAGGTGTTATTTGTGAATTGTAATCACATCTAATGAATGTAAATGTCAGTGTCTTAACATTTGCGGTTTTCTGCAGTGCAATTTATAAAGTAGTTCTTGCATTACTTTTTCTGTTTTTTTTTTTTTGTGATTTTCACAGTGCAAATTGCAAGAAATCATTGAAAATCTTCATACGTATCAATAAAGACTTCAGAAATCGCACCTGAAATTGTACTGAAATTACACACAAATTGCAGTGGTGTGACCAGTGACTAAGTAGGGAAGGTTAAAACTGCTGCTGGTTGTTTTTTTTTTTGCAATCTGTCTCATTAGGGGGGTTTCCTTTACTTCCTGTCCTGTAGACTCAATAGGAAGTGAGAGCAAATTTTTCCAATGTAAGAAAAAAAAAACCCCTCTTAGACAGTTGTAAAGGGAACATGTGTCTCCACTGCAAGATTTCCCCCTCCTTTTCTCATCTGGTGGAAGCTCAGAATTTTGGATTTACTCACTTTCATTTCTTGGGACATTAGTGAACAGGACAATTTGATAGAATAAATCTCCCTAATGGTGACCGCAATAAATATCTAACCAGTTCTATTCCGTTACTATAGTATCTAAGAAAAAAAAAAAGAAAAGGTTTTACCTTTTTATTTAGTGGATATTGTTTAGTTGTTTTGCTATTTTTTAGTTGTACATTAAGGTTCTATTCACACTTGTGTGACTTCAAAATTGTGCGATTTTCATTGTGACTTAACAGTGCGACTTTGGTTTTGACCAAGGATGATTGGCTGTGCTCTACAAAGTTGCACAGAGGTCGCATGTAGTAGTATTATTATACAGGATTTATATAGCGCCAACAGTTTGCACAGAGCTTTACAACATGAGGGCAGACAGTACAGTTACAATACAATTCAGTACAAGAGGAATCAGAGGGTCCTGCTTGTTAGAGCTTGCAATCTAAAAGGGGAGGGTGAAGTGATACAAAAGGTAATAACTGTAGGGGATGAGCTGATGGAGAAAATATATGTACAGTTGTAAAGTGGAGGCAGGATAGACATGTATAATTTTCAGGTGCGACTTTCATGCAACTTACATTGAAATCTATTGATCTCAAGTTGTATAAAAAAGACTGGACCAAAGTAGTGCGGGATCTACTGTACTTTCAGGTTGCTGGGACTTGATGTCACACAGATGAATGGTACTCCTAGGGAAACATGGGGTGGGACTTGCCATGCAACTTTGGACCCCAAAGCTGCATGACAAAATGTACAAGTGTGAATGAGTGCTGGCTCTAAGAAAACCATTTTGGCTTGACATAAATAAGAATGTGTTCCTAAAGGTTTGCTCTGTGAGTGCTGAAGTTGTCAGACAAATGAGGAAGGCTGCCTCTTACACAGGAGGCTCTCAGGTGTACAGCATTCAGCCATCTTAAAAGCACAGACCGCATGCAGACTTTACTTAAAGCTGCAACCTGTTCTGTCAGAGGTCTTCCTAATAGAGTAAACTGTTAAACAGGCTGGACCTGTTTTATATGGGTTCAGCTATAAATATCGCACGGCTCTCTTGGTTTTCCTCCCCTCCGTCCCGGTCTCACACAGTTGTGTTCTACAAGGCATTTTTCAGCAGCTCTGGCAGACATCCAGCCCATGTCTTGTTACTGCTGTGGTTTACACACACGGTGAAGCTAAATACTTTTCTTTTTCTTGATAGGAGACCGTTTTAGGATCATTCTCACACAAATATTTAGACAGGTAGCGTGATTGCTACTTTGTCTCCAAATTGCGATTGAAAAAACGCGATTAATTTCTGTTGGTCGTAATTACATTTTTATGTTTTGTTTTGACCGGTTTGTTGGCGTTGTTTGTTTCTGCCCAGTTACTTTGCAAAAACAGTTTACTCCTGTGTACCACACCGTTTAAGATCACAGCCAAACCTTAAGTGGATTTTGTTGTACAGTTAGCAGCCTTTCCTGTACATGCCTGTAATCCCCAAGTGAGGAATTTGTTGTAATGCCCTCAATGTATTCACCATTTTATATATAGTAGAAGCATCCTTGTGCCTTACGCTCTGATCAAGGTGACATCACTGGAGCTTGGAATTTTAAAGTGGTTGTAAACCTTTACGTATACCTACTGAATTGACTAGCCTCAGGTGATACACAGATGAAACTAAATTCTCGAACATAAATGTTAACTGTTTATCAGCAGCCCTCTCTTCTCAGTCAAAATACAGAATTTAGACAGCGTTTCTTAGCTCCAGAAAGTAGTGGATAGGGCTCTGACACCACATCCTGCACAGCAGGGAGCTGAGTGTAATCTGCGACTTTGAGTAGAGGGATCAGACATGCCCCCTCTACACAATCTCTCTGGAAAACATGCACAGCTGATGCTGTCAATCTCATGCTGAGTGCTAGATGGGGAATCTGCCATCTCCCAGGATTGCTTGGTGTCAGATTAACCAGCAGTGACTCATACAGATAGCAGAGGAAGGAGAGAGCAGACTGAAATCACACTTGGTGCTTTGGATTGAGGCAAGTACACACTATATGAGAATAGGCTTTGTTAATTTTTCATTTCAGAGGTTTGCAACCACTTATAGAAAAAAAAACAGTGGCAGCTCTGCTAGTATCGGAAAGTATCAGGTCTAAAATTACATGAAGCTTGGCTTTTTTTACCCGTGTCCCTTACAAAGTAGTGGACAAAGTACTCAGGAGGCTACCTTTGCTACCTTAGTGAGAGTGCTAACGGCAGATCAGATTTGACAAAATGGTTTTCCTAAGTTACGTTTACACCAGATGCAAGTACATATCAGATGTGTTTTGCTGTATATTACACGTTTTGTGTAGCCTTCATTTAATATGAACTGAACGGGAAAATACAGTGCTCAGCATAAATGAGTACACCCCCTTTGAAAAGTAAGATTTTAGTCAATCTCTCAATGAACACAAGAACAATTTCCAAAATTTTTACACAACTGAGTTTTATAGAACATTTGCTTAGCTCATTACATGAAAGTAAGGTTAATACTATAACTTAGATTTCAAAATCTTCTGTTTTACTTAAATTAGTTGATGCAAAAATGAATACAGCCAACAACAAAAAACTACTACATCTAGTATTTTGTATGACCTTCATGATTTGTAAAGACATCACCAAGTCTTCTAGGCATGGAATGAACAAATTCACATATTGCAACATCTATCTTTTTCCATTCTTCAAGAGCGACCTCTTTTAGAGCCTGCATGCTGGATGGAGAGTGATGATCAACTTGTCTCTTCAGAATTTCCCATAGGTGTTCGATTGGGTTCAGATCAGGAGACATACTTGCCTACTGAATCACTTTGATTCTGTTGTTCTTCAGAAATGAAACAGTGGCCTTAGATGTGTGTTTTGGATCATTGCATGTTGGAAAAGTGGACAACGACCAAGTGCATGGAGTGATGGTAGCATCTTCTCTTTCAATATAGAGCAGTACATCTGTGAATTCATGATACCATCGACGAAATGCAGCTCCCCGACACCAGCAGCACTCATGCAGGCCCACAGAAGGACATTGCCACCACCATGTTTCACTTTAGGCACCATGCATTTTTTTTTTTTTGTACTCCTCACCTTTGAGATGCTGTAGTTTTGAAGTCATCAGTTCCAGAAACATTAATCTTGGTCTCATCACTCTAGAGTACAGGCCCCCCCCCCCCCCCCCCCCCCCCCAACAGGCATCTTCTTTTCCAGCATGGGCCTTGGCAAATTCTAGGCGGGCTTTTTTACGCATGGGCTTTAGGAGAGGCTTTCTTCATGGATGACACCCATGCATGCCATTCCTCTGCATTGTACGCCATATTGTGTCACGGGAAACAATCACCCCAGTTTGGCTTTCCTTTTCTTTAGCTAACTGCAGTGAACTTGCATGGTGATTTTTTTCAACCCTTCTCATCAGAAGACACTCCTGTCAAGGCGTTAACTTCCGTGAACAGCTTGGACTTCTCTGTGAGATGGTCGCAGTTTCGTCCTTTAAATTTAAATTAAATTTAAGTTAACTTCTTGTATCACTCTTGCTACAGTATTCTGACTGATAAGTAAAGTTTTGCTTATCTTCTTGTAGCCTTTACCTTTCTTGTGTAAAGAAATTATTTTCTTTCTCAGGCCTTGTGACATTTCTCTTCCATGTGGTGCCATTGCTGACAGCATGAAATGGGAAGGGGTTTTCTTTAAGTAATGCCCTTTTATAATAAACTCTCTGCTGGACACTTGTTTAATGAATAATTAGACTCACCTGTAGTTGAATTCTTACTAATTAGGATTTTGTTGTCTAAAATGTAGCTTTGCTCCTAAGACTTTCATTGGGGTGTGTTCATTTTTGCAACATGGTCTTGAATTAATTTGTTAGGGAAAATACTTTTTTCTGTGTGAAAATTAACAAATCTTGTTTGCAATCAATGGCCCCCACTTGTGGGAGTATTTTGTAGTATAGTGTCCCATAGAAAATGTTGATTCTGAAAGGAATGGGTGTACTCCATTTATGCTGAGCACTGTAGATGCAATCCAAAACAACAACCTCTTGCGCTCAAGAGAAATGTTCAGGCAATAGTGACCCACCAGTCTTCAGTAACTCCAATATTGGTAAGACTTTCCAGACTCCTGAGGACTGTGAAAGTCCAAAATACACACTGTAAAAACAAGGAGAGGGTGCAGCAGCCTTGCGCATTACCTTTTTGTGATTTTCTTTTAACAGCTTTTCTGCCGCCCTATAGCAGATACAGGGCGTCAGGGGTGCGCAAAATCGTGTGTGTGTGTGATTTTATATTTCCGGGTAGGGGGCGCGCGCCCTACCCGCTTCACTTTTCATGGCTGTCAACCACCGAGTCCTGACCGGTGATTACTCACCCGCACCCGGTGATTGAGAAGTATTACTGATGGAGGGAGAGAACTGCAAGTAAACAATACTGTTCTCTTCCCTGTCAGCTCCTGCACATTGCCATGCATGGCTTTGCATAGCAGAGCCATGTAAAGCAGTGTGCTTACAGTGAAGCGCACACACACACACAGCTTACAGTAAAACAGCACACAGTTAACTCTTTGATCGCCCCACATGTTAACTTCTTCCTGCCCAGTGCCATTAGTACAGTGTCAGTGCTTTTTATTAGCACTTATCACTGTATTGGTGTCACTGGGGATGTCAGTGACACTGTCAGTTCCCCCCAGTGTCAACGCCTGCTGCAGTCCCGCTATAAGTCGCCACCACTAGTAAAATTAAAAAATAAAATAAAAAATCTTTGTATATATACCTCCATTTATAAACGCTATAACTTTCACATAAACCAATTAATTTACACGTATTGGGATTTTTTTGTAGCAAATACATGTAGCAGAATACATTTTGGACTAAATTTTATGACGAAATTTATTTTTAAAAATTTTTTACTGGATATGTTTTATAGCAAAAAGTCAAAAATATATTTTTTTCTCAAAATTGTCGGTCTTTTTTTTTTTTATAGCGCAAAAAAAAAAAAAATGCACAGGCGATCAACTACCACTGAAAGAAAGCTCTATTCTTGTGGAAAAAACTGGCATAAATTTCATTTGGGTGCAGCGTGGCATGACTGCGCAATTGTCAGTTAAAGTAACGCAGCACTGTAAGGAAAAAAATGGCCACATTTTGAGGGAGGTCCTCTTCCTCAGAGTCCAAGGGCTTTGAGGAAGAGGTGACCCCCTCGAAATGCGTCAGAGGTTTTTGCACTGTGGATATTGATGGGCTTTAAGATTTTATACTGTTTTTTGTGAATATACATCTGTTTTATCACTTTAATAAAAGAAATCAGAAAGGTTATGCACAAGGCTAGTGCACCCTCTGTTTTTACAGTGGGAAAATAGAAGGGCTATGCATAGGAAATGCAGCAGCCATCTCAACACAAGTTGCCAATGCTTTTGTGGGCCCATAGTTCTTGTTAATACTATATTACTGCATTTAAACAAGAAGTACTATTCTGTACCATTATAATTAGTGGTACAGTTCAGATCTCTACTGTGTGATTTCACTTCTGCATTCAACAGTCCTGGTGTCTCTACCTAAGCAGTTACTGCTTCTATCTCCCAAAGAACTCACCTTTGGCTGCAACTAACAAATGAAAGTGGAAGCGAAACAATGGCTACAGGGACTCTGCGGGCCCTTGGTCCAAAGAGCGGTAAGTATTTTGGGGAGGCTTGCACAGATATTTTATAAGACAGATGTAATTGAAATCGGTGGACCTAAAGTCAATTATAAATTTTAGGTTGCTTTGAGGAAGAAAAGTTGTTTTACCTTTTTTAGAAAGCTAAATTTGGAGCCCCAAACTTATTCCTATTGAAATGCCATGGCATGCTCTGAACCAACTCATTCAAATATAAACTGAAACAGTTATGTGTAGTGGAATTGACTTGAATACCTGTCATACAGGTTTGGTTGCAAATGTAGAAAGTATTTAATCGAAGTTCATGCCAATAAAAGCATTCACTTTTTCAGTCAGTTACCTTGATTATTTAATCACTTTAATACAGGGCACGTTTCAGCCCCTTCCTACCCAGGCCAATTTTCAGCTTTCAGCACTGTCACACTTTGAATAGCAATTGGGGCGGTCATGCAACACTGTACCTAAACTACATTTTTTGCATTTTGCTCACACAAATAGAACCTTCTTTTGGTGGTATTTATTCACCACTGGGCTTTTAAAAATGTTTTGCTAAATAAACAAAAAAAGAAAATTAAAAAAACATGCATTTTTCTTCATTTCTGTTATAAAAACTTTGCAATAAGTAATCTTTCTTCATAAATTTAGGCCAAAATCTATTCTGCTACAGTTCTTTGGTGAAAATTACCCAGATCGGTGTATATTATTTAGTCTGTAGGAAAGTAGGGATGCACCAATACCATTTTTTTTTTTTTTTTTCTATCCGTGAGTATGAGTACTAATACTTTCGGTCAAGTACTTGCTGGTACCTATACTTTGCTGTGTTATTTGCTTTAATGGACGCAAATTGCACCGCAAAGAATAACATGCAATTTGAATGGGAATGCGATTCCTGTCCAAATTGCATTTGGTTTCCTCACTTCTCCTGTGTGAACCCAGGCTTGTCATAGCTAAAGTTCACACAGGAGAGGTGCGGGAAACCTCCCTGCAGGCATCCCATGCTGAGTGTCAGTGGTAGGAGAGGAGAGAAAGGGAAGGAAATTTGAAATCCCTGCTGCTTTCTTTCCTCTCCTTCCAACGATGACGGTTTGGGCTAGACAGCATCTGATTGGTCAGCACAGTCACATGTATCCCTATAGGAAAGTTAGAGTCCACAAAATATAAGATCTATCTGAAAATCAATCCTGATGTACTGACGACCTCATTGCTTCAGGCCCAAAAATCCCAGGACAGTACAAATACCTGCCAAATGACACCTTTTTGGAAAGTAGACAGTCCAAGGTATTTAGTAAGAGGCATGCAGAGTTTTTTTGAAGTTTTAAATTTTTGTTACAATTTTTGGTAAATAAGGAAACATAAAAGATTGTGTTTTTTCCCTTTTTATTTTTTGTACATACTGTAACCAGTTCAGTATAGCGTCATCATGTAACTGATGTGGCAGTGATCATGGACACTGACTGACATGTAAAAAAGTAAAAATTAATGAAAGATCTTTTTATTGAATTTGTTTTTCTTTACATACTGTGACCAGAACAATACAGTGTTACCACAGTGGCATTGTACTACTCTGGGGAGGTGACTAGGATTTGTTTTTAGGCCGGCTCAGATATGGCTCAGATCAGAGCATGTTTTAAATACCTGAGGATTCATTTTGTTTTTTGTTTTTTTAAATCACAGCTCTAAACATGAATATGTTGAGATAAAAAAAAAAAAAATATATATATATATATCTATATCTTTCAGGATATAACGTACTTTTATAACATTTCATTAAATAAACATGATAGATTCTTTAATGCCTTTTCACAAAAGAGATGTAATCAAAGGCTGGATCATGTCACTGGCAGTAGAGGTATATCTGGTATCAAGTCTTGTTGGTTTTTTATTGGACACGTGTGAAAGAAAGCAGTGAGATGTGTTTTAAAATGCACAAAGGTAATACCAAAGATTAAAAGAGAAAATGGACTGCTAGATTTGCCACGCTGTCAAAGGTTAGACTTCAGATGAAACGAACTCGAGTTCCTTTTTGCACAGTGTGTTAACATTGATTTCCCATTTGAATTTTATGAAGAGAGTCTTTTGATTTTGTAGCAGAGAGTCTTCCAAATTATACAAAACAGTCTATATACATGTGAACAATTTTAGTAATGAGCCACTAGATTTACATTTTGCATTCTCGACGAATGCAGAGATATATATAAAATATTTTACAACATATGGCTTTAGTGTTCTTTCCTCTTTAATCATTATATAATGCCTTCTTGGATTAAACTAAATCCTAGGTGTTTCCTTCTACATCTAAAAGCTGAATTTAGATGTTTTTAGACGGGTGCCAGTTTTAGTAAACTACATGATGGCGGAGTTTAAAACCCTGTATATGATTTTGTCATTCAGCATCCTTGCGGAATTTCTAGGCCTTTTGGTGGATAAAATGTCATGCAGGTGTCAGTGTGATTGTTGTGGCACAATATTTTGTAGCCCTATTTTGTGATATCTGAGCAGTAATTGGCTTGGTGCAAAGGACAGTCCACGCATCCAAGTTATATGCACATTAGACATGGTTCTAAACCAGTGGTATCGGGGGCCAGATGCGGCCCTTGTCTTTATCTGACCATTGGGACATTTTTTCCTCCAACTGACAAAAATGATGTGGCATTATTCCTCCCACTCGTGCCAACATTGAGGCACTATTCCTTTCACTAAAACCAATGATGGGGCATTGTTTATTTCCACTGATGCCTAGGGCATTTTTTGCTCCCACTGGCCACAGTCAGGCCCTCATAAAGGCTAAAGGACTGTAAACTGGCCCTTTGATTAAAAAGTTTGGAGACCCTTGTTCTTGGCAAATAGTGGGGTGTACAAGATAAGAGTGGTAGGCCCGACTTCTAAACCATAGGAGTGGTTTGTGATATGAAATATATAGTGCCTTAGGTTTTTTTTACAGCTTATTTGAGGCTCTGAAATACTTTTGATGAGAGTTTGTAAAGTTTAGAGTCCGCACAGGTTCATTTAGCCACTAGTCCTGCTAGGTCACTTTAGTCGGACCCATTTTGCTGGTATAGCTATGTAAAACATTACAAATAAGTGCCTATACTGTTTAAAATCCAGTAATACTGTCTTATCCTGCTCTACACATGCTCAGTTGTTCTTTTTTTTTTTTTTTTTTTTTGGCACTGTTCCAAAAATCAGAGCCACTATTGGTTACAAGAAAAAAAAAAAAAACAACGGAATACAGAGTAAAAGTAAAGAATATCAATAAACTGTTTTAAATTGTTGTACAAATATATATTTGAAATCAAATAAAATATTTATTATTTTTTTGGTAAGAACATGGTGTTAGTGGATTTCTACCAATTGCAGACTGTGTCATGCCCCTCCAGTCAGTGTCTTAGAATAAGAGGGAGGTGAAGGCTTCATCAATCTACACGTAATATCTCACTCCCATTGCGTTTAGCTGGTTAGTGGGCATGGAGGAGGAGCAAGGCAGTGGGATGTCATTTACCACTGTGTATACACCCACATGTGGGACTCTAATCGCATAGGCTGTTCAGGTGTGATCATGCTCAGGGTAGAGACTCGCTGAAAACTCAGTTTTTTTTGCAGAATACAGCAAATGAATCTCATAGTGACTGAGTGAGTATTAAGAGCACGTAATGCAGCATTTTTAAAGTTTTCACGATGTGTGTTTAGTGATACTTTAAAGTGTTACTAAACCAAGGACCCTGCATTCACTATATCTGGTCTCCCACAGTACACAGAACATGCACAATTATTTTAGTAAATATAAACTGCTAAATACCTTTTCTCATCAGCAGTTAGAGCAGTCTTGTGAGTTCTATCAGTGTTCAGCCGAGCACATGTTAAAGCTTGTAGGAGGAGTTTTCATTTTGCTCTAGGAGACTGCAGAACCCCTGACCTCTGGACAGTGCTGAGTGGCCCTCTGTTGATCACATGCACTCTCCCAAGGAAAAAAAAAAAAAAACCTCTCTAGCAATACACACTATACTGAGTATGTGCAGTGTCGCCACACCATATGTCTTATCAGGAGAAGAGATGGGGACACTGTAAGAAAGGGAGGATCAGAGAAGTCAGGATCAGAGTTTATACAAAATGCAGAGGATTAACCCCTTAAGTTTCACAGTGAGTATAACAAGCATGCTTTACTG